GCCGCCCCTCGCACCCGTCTCCCAATCCGCTTAGCGATCCAGCACCGCGAGAAGAACAACTCGTGGATCAAATGACGACAGCTGAAGGTCTATGCTCAGGACAATGTATTTGAGCATAGCCGGATACGAGAACACCATCGCAAGCACTTGGAGAGATTTGCAGTGCTCCAGGATAGCGTTGGAGATGGAGGGGCTAGAGCGTGAGAGAAAGTCCTCCAAGAAAGAAAGATGTGTGAGCTGAGGTATTAACGCGAGCGGCGACCATTTCACCCATTGATGATCAAGTTCGCCAGGAAGGTTGAGGTGCGTTATATGGGCGAAGAGAGGGTGACCAAAATCCCACCCACCAGGACCTAGCCAATAATTTTCGCGGGCTGAAAGGCGCTTCAAGGGAAATGCCCCGAGAAGCTCGAGGAGGGCAGCGTCACCCTCGACGCAGGAAACATTGAAGAGGGCGAGATTCATGGTAGCGTTGCAAGCTGCGAGTGCTGGGAGAATCTCCGATGGGGACACCAACAAGTTGTACATGGCGGACATTGTCGGGGAAGAAAGACGCCGGCTTCGATTTCATGAAGCTGTACAATGCAGGTAGTGAATGCCGGAAATTCGTGTTTGGTTTCGGTACCGTCTCACGTGGGAGCCCGTAGATGGTGACCGCTTTATAAAACAAAGGTTCAATCCTGAAAACAGTCATTTTTTGAGTCTTGCGATACAAAAACCAAACTGAACGATGGGGACTTGCTATATTTTAACACGGTGGGCAACGAGCAAGAGCGCGGCAATACAATCTGTGTGGAAGACAGCCGCACTCTCGAATATGTATCTCTCAAGATCCTCTGGGAATGCCGGATCCGCTCCTGGTGAAAACATTGTCTACTGCGGCGTTGGGTATACGACCTCGAGGGAGTAGATAAGGGAAAGGACACGCATATGATGCAGTGAATCTGATTTTGACACACTTTCCGGTTTCGTCATAGGTGGAGCTTCTGCCCGACAGTAGGGCACAATCAAACACCGCTTTTTTTGTAGCGTGTGAACCGGCCTTTCTTTCATAATTCTGAGTTCAGATTCAGATCCGGTTCGTCAAAAGGAGCTCAAAAACCTACCTCCGAAGTTTGTCCCACGAGGGATTGGTTTTTCTCAAATTTTCGGCCAAGTTGAACAAAATTGTGTGTACCCCTTTTAGCACTCTGGAGGTGCATTGTGGCCAAATTCTACCGAAATTGCACAGCAATAGCTTTGAACTCGTTTAGCAACCAACAAAGGCAAGAATTCTGATGAATTCGTGTTTCCGGACAAAATAATGGTCTGATCAAATCTTTTTTTTTTCTGCCGAAACGGCTCGATTGACCGTTCTTTAACGATTACCTCAGCGTGTCATTGTACATGTATGGGCTCTTCCCCATCCAACATATCCCCTTTCCTTCTGGTCTTCTCCTTATACTCCTTTCTCACGCAGTTCAAGTTTTCACACGAAAGGCTCATGTGCCTGAGCAGCTGACTCATGCAAGGGGCTTCGAATCCGACAAAAAAACACCTGACGCCAAGGGGGCGCAGAGATAAAATTTTGAATGGACGACACTCCATTTTTACATCAGGTGAATTCTGGAGCCCACCCCCCCCTCCTCCCCTCAGGTTTTATTTTTTGAGATTTTTTTCCCAAAGTTTGGGGACCCACCCACCCGCTAAATCAGGGGATTGTTGCCATCAAACATCATTGGAGCATAATGTCCTACAAAATATGTGTCAATGCGCAACCTCCTTGCTCTGGATCATTTCTTTTTGTTCCTTTCTTGGCTGCTAAGCCTGCAACCTTCTCTTTTTTGAGCTTGGGGTAAATCAATTTTGGTATTTGTGTGAGATGACTTGCAGGTGCATTCTCAGCAATAATTTGAATGTTTATCCGGATGCGTTTGCCGCATGAGGGCGGGGAAAGGAAGAGTCGGGAGGGTGGAGACGCGCACGCACCCGCGCTGACACACAGCTCGACGATGATCATAGTCACACCGGGGTCGCGATCGGAGGGCTTGATGAGAAGGGTGTTCCATGATGAGCGCGAGGTGGATCGTTCAGAGAGGGACCATCCTGCGCGTCCCTACGTTGAGTTTGATTCATGTAATAGATAAGAACTCATCGTGAGGCAATGCTAAAATCCGAGGGCAGAGCACCGCACCTGTTACACAGCCCAACGGGACCGTCCTCGTCTCCGTGTCCGGGATTCTCGCCCATGGCGGCGTGGGGATGGCACATGTGGTTTCGATGACCTGCAGCCCGCCTCCGGAGGACGTCGTCTTGGGCGTCTGCGTGAAATTGGCATGATATCGGTATCCTATTCGGTTTGAATGGAGGAAGAGTGCATGGCGCACGATAAACGTCTTGCCCTGCTCCAGGAACATCGCGGTCGCAATAGTGTCCCTGTTCTCGCGGATCAGCGTCTGCAGCCTGGGTCGTATTAATATTATCGTTCCCGGCCGCGCAGTTGCGACGCACTCGTGGGCAAAGCACTGCCTCTTCAGCACGCTCGTCTTCCATGTTTGGAACGCCCTGGCCGCCGCTTCGACGGCGCTCTCAAATTTCTCGGTTCTCGTCTCTGGCACGCGCGAGAGCAGCGTTTGCGTCGCCTGTATCTATATGCATCGCGTCCCTTCAATCGTTCTCAATCCATGTCTCCGTCTTGCCCTCCTGATGGCGTCGACAAAGTTCTTGGTCGTCCCTCGAGGAAGTTGGTGCCCTTCCGCTGCGCGAGAGTTCCTCTGTGCGCACGATGGAGGAGGCATTGAGGCCGGGAATTGTTAGGGCGGTGGTGTATCTTGGTTGCATGCACAGCGGGAGTAGATTGAAGACGCGGAGAACGGCAAGCAGCACGCGGATCAAGAGGAGGACAGGTGACGCGGTCACGAGACTGGTTGCACAAATAATAATCGTGTTCCGACGCGCCCGCCTGCGTGAAATATAGCGTAGGCGGGTACAGTGAAGGTCAGCTTTGCTTTGCTTGAGAAATCGGCTGGCATGATACTTGATGGTACTTGTGAATTTGAACTTCCAAATCACAATTAACCATTCTTTAAGCAAATGGCTCCTCGGCTGTGCTAATTCTCCATATATCCATCCTCCTTTTGGTTTCTCTCTGCTCTTCCTCTTGGCTTAACTCCTTCCATCCTCGACTTTCTGTTCTTTCCAACACAGCCTTTTCATTTACGATGGAAGAGCTGACCGGCCCGCAGTCCTTTCTTGACAGGAAGCAGTAGATTGCAGTTGCTGCTGCCTACGGCCCAGCATGATTCTATTCATACGGCCGTGAGGCCACGTAGTTCTCCCGGAAGATCCTCGACATATAAAAGCGGCCCTGATGTCGGGTGAAATGCTGATCAATTTCCCCCTTTGCCCGTGCTCAAATGATCGATTCTCGGCCGGTCTGATCAACTCTTCGGTCTGCTGCTGAGAACTTGGCCTAAATTTAACTCTACTGCACTATTTCTGTGATATATCTGTCCTGCCACGGATCTAATCAATACCATTTCTCAAACAATCCAACAATTATTTCCTGTTGCTCCTGGTCCTCAAAATTTCCGGTGTTATGGCTGGGATGAAGGATCAATCTCATTTCCTGGTGGTTCCATGCTCTCGTAGGCTACAGTTGTCGATGCTGCTTGCTTTTTCACTCTCTTCACTTGGTTATCACATTTTGGTTGAATTATCTTTGTTCTGTTCTCCCTGTTGCTTCTGGGTGTCATGATCTTTGGCTTGCTCCTCTATGCGCGAGAATATTCAAGTAACTTCTTTACGGTAGTCTCCCGCATTTTGAGTTTCTTCGTCATCGTTAGTTTCCTCGTCGAGCCTTGCCACGGTGGTTGGTCAATATAACCTGACATGCTTCAACTTTCTTTTCAATTTGTTCTCACCGTGCTCAGTCTCCCTTGCATTCCTTCTGCCCATCCCCTCTGACGGTGACGCCTCCCTTGGCAGGAAATTTCTCTGCAGTACAGCCTTTAATTCCCGACACTCCGCTGATATGCAACGCGAGTTCTCTGGAAGTTTGACATTGTTTCGGGGTTTTCTTGGATATGTGTAGGAGTATGGGCGATATACTGTCAAATAATTAGGTACTGGTTCCATGGTTTTTGAAAACATCTGCTAGGAAATTGGGTGACATCTTTTCTGACCTTGGCTGCATCTTTGTCACCTTGGTTGCATCTTTCATTATGGTCGCACCTTGACATTGGGTTACAACCATTTGAGTCCCATCAGCATTGGTTGTGTTTGGTTTTGATCCACGAATCCCCCCGGCTGTCAGCTAGGCTCGGCATCTCCACAACCACTTCAATATGGGTACAGCAGGGCAGGTCAAGATTCTCTGTGTTCAGAAAAGCCTTTGGAGAAATATCTGTGGTGTGCAGATGGAATTCCTTCCGAAATCAATGAATTTCCCATGTTTTGATGAATTAATTGCTATGAGTGCTATGAAGGATGTTGAGCTCACTTTCGTGGAACACATAGTTTAAGATACTGTTTAGAATGTGCTCTAAGCAGCAGGAATTCAATGTTATGCTCTCATGGCGAGAATTCATCCATTTCAACTTTCGGAACAATATGGCATCATTGTTTCAATCAATGCCATCATAAATTGAAAATTTCCTCCAGACAAAGTCCTTCACATGTGAACCATTTGGATTGTAGTCCATGTGAGCAGCGGACTGCATGCTAGATCGAAACATGCATCCGCTTTCCAAGATGCGATCACTTTTGCACCTTTCTTCCCAGATGCAACCAAAAACCCTGCAACCACGGTGATGTAACCCTTGATTAATTTTTGGACAGTATATGTGCCATATAGAAGCCTTTCCTATTGCTTTCATATACTGTCATACAGATAGTGTAGGGAAAAAGTGAAAAGATCTTTGGTATTTAGTTACTATGGTTTCTGGAGTGAAGCGAAGGCCTATCTTGTCCAAGATATTGGAATCACACAGGCTATGAAGGCCTGACACCGTGCCAATCAAGCTGTCGTGGGTCGTGGAAGGCCATCCCCATAAAATGCATCTAATGTCTGGTGGATCTGGTGAGGAGGAGCCGGTGGTTCGATTCCACCCGACGGCTTTTGGGGACAGGAATGCTACTTTTTGCCGTGCTGCAAATCAGGTGAATTTTGATTTGTTGGGTGAAATGCAATTTGATTCTATCCCTGCATGTATAGGTCACCGCTCGGGTTGACTTTGGCCCAAATACCAACATTTCATTTATGTTACATACATGAACCGGACATCGCTCATCCCAATTGAACCAGTGATATCAGCTCGGCTAATTAATCTTGTCTTGGATAATCCAAGAGAACTCGATTAATCCTGTATTGGATTATCCAATTCACTATTCCAAGATTTCATCTTAATAGTAGGAGCGAGTAGCTACGATTAATCCAATGTGTCTATGATTAATCCAATGTGTTCCCCAGGTCCACAATTTAATCCTGTAAGGGATTTAATCTGTCCAGGGTTTGATCCCTTCACGGCGCCACCCGATTAATCTACATAAGAAATAGTTACTTGGTCTTCGTACCACGAAGATTCAATCCGCCCGATTAATCTACGTAGGGCCCGGGAATTTCTGATATGCCGTGATGAAGATCATCTTGCGTGATGGGCCTGATAAGGCATCGTAATGCGATCACCTGGCCGATTTGCCCTTGCAACGCAGGACCAGCGTGATGTTGCCTTGATAACGGAATGTTAGTCTGATAATGACTTTATGAGGGCCTGACATCCTGATGCTCAGCCAGGTTCATAGTTTATTGTCGAGTTGGTTTGCCAGAAAAATCCGGTGCCCGTCTCTGTGCCGTCACTGTCGTGCCATCCAAGTTACAGGTTGATGTGTGTCATCCAATATATATCGAGCGAGGATGGTTTAGCAACTGATTATTGAGCAGAAATTCAATTCGGTGTGCTGGTAGATAGACAATCCCGGCTGAGAATGTCGGAACTGTTCAGAATGATGTCAAAGCAATGGAATACCGGAGAAACTTAACCGAAGGTCCGTGCGCGATCAGGCAAACAAATCACAATGTTCGGATTGATCACGCCATTTTCGCTTCTTTCCCTCCACCCACCACCATCGTCCCTCCTCTTTCCACTTGCTCCCTCCCATGGTTGATCTTCCGGAACTCAACTGGGCCTCCCTCAACCGGTTTCGACGACTACAAGCCCTTCGAAATCGACGCAAAGCATCTCAAGATACTGACCAAGCTCTCTTGCGTTCTCAATTTGCTCTCATCCTCAATCAAACCCTCTCGCACTATATAACTCCAAGCCTCAAGACCAACGCCAAGCCTCAGCCAAGACGAATGCCAAGCCTTGATATACAAGTTGTGCAGCTCTCGCCCTTCAATGGCCCATCTCGGTAATTTTCGAAGGACTCGCATGCCCTCAAGCCATATCCAAGAATACCCATCACGCTGCCTCCTCGAGCTTCTTCCAAGATTCTTCTCTCGGGTTTCTCGTTGTCAAGTCTGCGCTGTATCTGCTTGGTTTGATCCCCTCATTGCAGTCCTGCTACGGCTCGCAGTCCACACACTGCAAACCCATGGCAGCATTGGCCTGCTTGTCGTGTACATTAAACATTCCCTGTTTTCCCATGCTCAATATGATTGAAATTTGATTTCTCCGTATTTGTATGGAATATGAATTCTGTAGCCTGTATAAACAACTAATATCTTCATTTGAGACCTTACATGCTGCTCCAGCCTGACAGCAATACATCAGGAAGATCCACCTTCATCACGATAATGGGCCCTTGTCTCGCACTTAGATCTCAGATAAGCCCCGATGAATTTTACATCACGCCGATGACCGTGATATGCCTGACAAGCCTAATAAGGCAACATATGACATTATATGTTTCTCCCGCTTTTGGTGATGTAGTTAGTTGAACATCGTACCATGAAGATTTAATCTGTACCACGAAGATTCACTGCGTCCTGCATCGAATCTGTGCAAGGAATACACAATTATCTAGGTAGCAATTAGTTAGTCGTACTTGCTGCGTACCACAATTAATTGTCTTACCTTAATCTCCGCTGACGTACAGTGTTCTTATATAATAATTCATCTAGAGGGTGCTATCATATCGTATCACATCATACAGAATTAGAGACTTGCCTCGTAATCTGGCTCGCCCCAGGAAAGCATCGGACCGTAGGCCGCACTCCAGGGCATTTGAGAACAAGCAGATAAGCAAGCGGAAAATAATATGAAGAGGGAGGAAAGGAGGGCATGACTCACTGTCCATGTTGCTGCCTTTGCCACCCTAGATCAACTGCCTAGAAGGGTCGAAGAAAAGCTGCGCAAATGATACCGCTAAAATGCCACCAAGGAAGGCCAGACCCCGCAATCTCGTAGTACATTAAGTAACTCAACAGCGACCAGAGGCAGGGCATTATGGCAAAAGGAGGTTTGATTCTTGAGGGCTGTTGGGGTCGGGGAGCAAGGTCCAACGAGTCAGAGTTGTGAAGTTTGTGGCAGAGGAAGAGGGAGTTGGCGAAGTCTTTGAAACTCCGACGAACAATGCACAATGTTGACAATGATGGTGCAAACTTTGTCAAACATTCTCGCTCCCTTCCCTTCCCTCTTCATGTTCCATTCCGTTCACTACCTTACAAAGGCTTCTTCCCTCAAATGAACGATGGACCCGTGTTACTGGTGCTCAAGAGATATCCCTGTGGTTGAATGATGGGTTTCCATTGATTCTGTCCAACTCCGAGAATTCTGACTCGGTGGCAAAGTGACAGCTAGCACTCTCGGTCTCAAGACAGCGCTGAGCTATCAGGATGAACCAGGATGGATACATATAGGAGGGGACTAGGGATCCGTACGTCAAATTGTGCCTTCTGCTCAGTTAACACTGATCTTGTGAGCATCGTCTCCACTCCTGTGGCAATTTAGTTGTCTTTCGTGGAAAGCGCAAGTAGTCTTGCCTCCCCGCGGTACCCCAACTCATGTATATGTTTTGGAAATGACGCCGAGCGAACTACAGCCGTGCCACTGACCTGAATTCAATATGTCTTCTCATCTATTCCCTTCACATTCCCTTCCATCTCCTCCACATTATTCGCTAGATCGCAACCGAAAAGTCAATCCTCCTCCCTCAAATCTGCCTCGTTTCCCTCAGTCTCAAGCGTGCAACTCTCCTCCTGACCTCCCCAAAGAGTCCCGTTCGATTTGCTATGCTGTATGCCATGAAACGCGTCCGCGCACTTCGTCCGAGTGCGAAAAACAGGGTGCATCAGAAAGGTCAATCTTCCTCCCTCAAATCTGCCTCGTTTCCCGCGGTCTCAAGGGTGAAACTCTCCTCTGGACCTCCCTCAAGAGTTCTGTGCTATTTTCTAGGCTGTACAACACGAAACGCGTCCGCGCGCCTCGTTTGAGTGTCCAAAATAGGGTGTATCAGAAAATTCGATCCACCTCCCTCAAATCACAATTATTATCTACCTTCCACACATGGTATTCGCTTCCCCGGGGCCAAATACCAGTGAATCGGGGCCGTTAGGGCGTCAAATATGCACGGAGGATATCCAGGATGGTGTGTTCAAGATTTGAAGTGAAACAGCGCAGACACGCACCCTTGACAGAGCAGTCAGGGCACTCTCCGGAGCTGCTCCCAACACTCGACAAAGGTGGGGTGTTAGAGTCATTTGCAGGTGGCATCAAGCATCTCTCATATGAAGCCAGTGTCGCTACATGGCTGCACGGGCGCTCTTCGGAGCTGCTCTGTGACGGTGCACGTACATGGCTGAGGAGCGGCGAGGGATTACTGTACCATTTCGTTCAATTCGTACTTGCACATGACTTTTTAATTTTCCGACAAATCTCCAAATTCCGCTAAAATTGAGAAAGAATTATTGCGAGGGTTTCCAGAAATCGGGTGTGACGCGTGACATATGAATTGAACGAAATGGTACAGTATTGTGAGAGTCCATTGGGTTAGGTGACAAGGTAGCCATGTCTTTAGGAGAAGCCTGGCGCAGGGAGGAGATAAATAACGAAGAATGAACGAAAGGTGGCGGTCAGTAAACAAAAGCGCGTTCATGTCACGTGCATGTCAAGTGCTGTTAAAAGCTTTCTGATCACTTCAGGCTACCCCGAACCAGGCCTCCTTAGCATCAATGTGAAGTGTATAAGGTTAAGCCTAGAGGTGCCAGTTTTCATGGTTGCATCCAAGGCCTTGGGTGCATCCATGGCAGTGTGGGTGCATCCACATCCTTGGTTGTGTGGATGCATCCACACTATATTACCACCTGCGCTTGCGCAGCTCGTTTTGGGGATTTTGGGGCCCTGCAGGGGCTGTTTTGGGACCAGGAACCAGCCCCCACCTCAGGGCATGCTGTAGAGGCATTGCCATTGGCCTATTGGAGTATTACGACCTGCACTTGTGTAGCTCGTTTTGGGGGATTTTGGGGCCCTGCGGGGACCAGGAACCAGCCCTCCACCTCAGGGCATGCTGTAGAGGCATTGCCATTGGCTTATTGGAGTATTACGACCTGCACTTGTGCAGCTCGTTTGGGGATTTTAGGGTCCTGCAGGGGCTGTTTTGGGCTAGGCCGTACCCCCTCCTTTAATGTGTACGCCCGCACCCACACCATACCCCTTCCTCGAATGTGTACTCGCACTCACATTGCACCCCTTCCTCAAAATCTGCATGGTACCCCCTCCTCTTATGTGTATACCCACACCCACAGCGTACCTCTTCCTCGAATATGCCCGCGCCTGCACCCACAGCATACCCCTTCCTCAAATATGCTCGCGCCTGCACCTGCACCGTACCCCTTCCTCAAATATGCCCGCGCCCGCACCGTACCCCTTCCTCAAATGTGTACGCCCACACCTGCATTACACCCCTTCCTTGAATACGCCTGCACCTGCATTGCACCCCTTCCTCAAATATGCCTGCACGGTACCCCCTCTAATGTGTATGCCCTGTATACCCACACCCACAGCGTACCCCTTCCTCGAATATGGCCGCGCCTGCACCCACAGCATACCCCTTCCTCAAATATGCTCACGCCCGCACCCGCACCGTACCCCCCTTCCTCAAATGTGTACGCCCATACC